GTTGGGAACTGCCCAGAATGGCTGGAGAAACCCAGACGGGCTAGAAATAATAAATTATTATTATATATTATTATTGTCATAGCCGTTAGCCATTGGATTGACCCATCCTTCATGGACTTACATATTCTCTTTTCAAAGCCACCTAGGCTAGTGCCCATTACCACATTTTGCGGCAGCAGATTCCATAAGCTTGCTCCCCCTTTTGTTTGTTCTGAACCTACTCAATTTTATGAGGCTCCTCTTTGGCCTTCCCCAGAATAATAATAATAATAATAATAATAAATCTGAATAATCAAAGAAACATTTGTAGTTTGTGCCAACTACGGCAAGACACGTCTGTTGCAAAGTTGGAATAAAAGACTTGGGCTCTTCTTTTCAGGGGTTCTTTGAGCTTGAAGAGCAGTGTCTGCTTCTACCTCAGCCTGGAAAACAGCTGTTTTTTTTCTTCCCCCCCAATGATGGCATATCTCTCGGTAACTGAGCCCTCGCTGGTTGAACGAGACAGCAGAAGGAGCCAATATTTGTCGCCATGGCAGCCAGCCATTTACGATTCCATATGGCTGGGATGGCAGAAGGCTGCTTTCTTGTAAGGAGGTCAGGGCATTTGCAGTATTAAAAAAAAAAAAGCGCCAGCAAGAATACCCAGCACTGTGAAAACTTTTCTGTACATCATGTACAGTAAAAGGGAGAATTGCTCCCTAAGGAGAATGTGATCGGCCAAAAGGCATAAACTGTTTTCCCTCTATTAAAAAAGAGAGAGAGGGAGGGAGGGGAAGGGAGAGGAGAAGCAGTATTGTGTGTAATGCCTTAGAGGGAAATAAATTGGTGAAATTATTGTTGGTGCTCCGGGTTTGCTGCCCAGGACTCCTGATGTAATAATAATAATAATAATAATAATAATAATAATAATAATAATAATTTTTATTTATAACCTGCCCTCCCCCGGCCAGAGCCAGGCTCAGAGCGGCTAACACCAATAAATTTTCAGTAAAAACATAATAAGAAAAGAAAAAGAAAAAGAAAAAAACAATTTAAAATACAGGTTAAAATGCAATTTTAAATGCAGCCTCATTTTAAAAGTCAAAACCATAAGGGGAGGGAAACATAAGGGTCAGACTGAGTCCAAACCAAAGGCCAGGTGGAACAGCTCTGTCTTGCGGGCCCTGTGGAAAGATGTAAAGTCCCGCAGGGCCCTAGTCTCTTGTGACAGAGCGTTCCACCAAGTCGGGGGCCAGTACTGAAAAGGCCCTGGCCCTAGTTGAGACCAACCTAACCACCTTGTGACTTGGGACCTTCAAAACGTTGTCATTTGTGGACCTTAAGGTCCTCCGTGGGGCATACCAGGAGAGGCGGCCCCGTAGGTTATGTGGCATTCTCCACCCTGCATGCTCTGAAATCTGCCACAGAGGTCCTGCTTTTGTTGCCGTGGCCTTGGGAGGTTGCAGTGAGCAGGGTTTTTCTGTTGTGATCCCCACTCTGTGGAAGAGCCTTCAGAGGGAAGTCAGTTTGGCCAGGAGGGACAAAAGGAAAATGAGAAGAATCAAGAGGCTGGAGGCAGCAGAAGGCCGTGGGTCCATAAGGATGAATGGGGCTTGCCCCACAGAGCTCACACTGCCTTCTTACAACCAGCCACCAATCCCAGCTTCTCCATTATGAAACCCTTCATCATCTGGCGATTAGTACAGTTTTGGAGGGGGAGAGAAGACAAGCAGGGGGCATGACAGATTTATAAAATGATGCAACGCTTTGCAGATAATGGATAGAGAGAACTAGATGCTAGAGATACTGGACTCCAGAGTCCTCCAAGTGAACACTGGAGATTCTGGAGAGACAAAAGGAGAACGAATTCACATAGTGCGTAGGTAAACTGTGGAATTTGCTACCTTGAGATGTAGTGATTGCCACCAAGCTGGACCGCTTGAAAAGAAGGTTGGATAAATTCATTGAGGATATGGCTGCTGATGACTATTAGTCTGGGGAACAGAGGCTGCGTGCCACTAAATACAGTTTCTGGGAAAGCAGAAAGCAACCTTAAACTGCATCAGACTGTTGCTCTATCCAGCTGCCAGCTGTGGACTGAAGCAGGCACCTTCTGCATCTGAAGAAGCGAAAATGAGCAGGAAAGGGCTATCTTCGTTTTGGGTTTCCCATCTCCACCTGGTTGGTCACTAGGGAAAACAGGTTGCTGGACTTTTTACCTTCCAGTTCATTGAGAAGTCAGGAGATGATTGCAGGTTGTGCAAGCAGAGAAGGTGGTTGGCTCTCTGTTAATTTTCTATTATAATACTTTATTACTGGCTGTTGCTATGTGTGTTCTAGGATTTGTTTAAGCTTTTCTTAGGTTTATCTTAATATCTTATCCTTTTTGCACTGTAGTTTATCTTTTTATTGACCTGCAAGCTATTGCAAGATTCCCCATGAGGTGGGGAACAACATCCTTGGGTGGAAATTTAAAAATGGATCTAACCAGTTATTTGTGAAGGTCAGTAATCTGCTCACACCACAGTTCCTTATAAATTTCGGTAGTTGGGTTGGAGGGGAAGGGAATGCCAATTATTGCACCATTTTACTTAAAAGGAAAGTGGAATATTCTCTGTACTGCAGTGGAGCCTAACTACTTTCAGGGTGCATATGAACCCTCCTCGTCTGTAAAACAAATGTCAACAGATTCTGGTTTCCCTGGGGACTTCTTCAACAGCTTGTTCCTAATTGGGAGGCGAGGATGTCTTCAGGGTATCGGTGGGAAGTGTGGTTTCTCCTATGATGCCAGCACATTCCGGTTGCAGTGGCTAATCAGTATAATCACCACCATTCTTGTCTCTTTTTTTAAAAAAAGAAGACCTTTAATGTCTTCTGCACTGATGCTTAATGATGTGAAGATGCAACTAAGTGATTATCCATTAAAATCACCCTCTAGCTGTCTATGCTGCACTTACCTCTTGGTAGGCCGTAACTTTGCTCCCTAAGGCCCTGTGCGAACTGCAGTTAAGCAAATTGGCACCCCACTTACGATGCTTAACTAAGGGTGGGTGTGGAAGAGAAGCCCCTCCCCGGTGGGGAAAAGGTAACCCCTGGACAGTTAAGTCTAGTCAAAGGCGACTATGGGGTTGACTAAACCGCTTCTGGTGCAAGGGAACACCGTGACGGAAACCAGAGCGCACAGAAACGCCATTTACCTTCCCACCGCAGCGGTACCTATTTATCTACTTGCACTGGTGTGCTTTGGAACTGCTAAGTTGGTAGGAGCTGGGACCGAGCAACGGGAGCTCACCCCGTCATATGGATTTGAACCACCAAACTTCTGATCGGGAAGCCCAAGAGGCTCAGTGGTTTAGACCACAATGCTACCTGCTTCCCTGATAGGGACGGCTCCCCTTAAACCGGGGTCTAGAGACCAGTTCAAACTGGAGCTAGCTTAGGGGTGTCATGAATAGTCTTAATGGGGAACTGTTTAACAGTGGGGAGGGATTTGCTACAAGGCCATAGAGAAGGATTTGTTAACTGAGTTTTGACAGGGGGGCGGGCAGACTTACATTAGTCACCTCAGCTTTGTATTATTATTATTATTAAATCTTTATTAGATTTATAAACCACCCTTCATCATAAGATCTCAGGGTGGTTCACGGGAAAATCACAGTGGATCATCCTTCTGGGTTTGTTGGGGGTATCGTTTTCCAGCGGTTTTGCCCTGTCCGACTGATGGGTTCACATTTTTAAATGTCGCTAGGAATCAACTAGGCCATGTTGTTGCTACTGCTTCTCATAACGACAAGTCTCCCATAGCTTAGTGGGAAGATGCCCTGCACAGTCCATCTAACCAACATTTCCATTCTTTTGCCTTCCGTGACCTGGGTTAACCCTCGCACATTTCCAAAAACCTTCCAAACATTTTGAAAATCCTGTGCATATTTACTTGGAAACCATTTAAATTATGCAAGCTAAGCAGACCACATTTATTCAGATAACAGAATTTGGAGTTTTAAAAGCAAAACACCCACAGCCCAAGGGAGGGGAATGCATTGCAGGGTTTGCCATTGTTTGTTTGAGCGGCCGTAACATTTTGGATGCTGCTCATGGGTGTACACTAAGACACCGTGAATCTGAAGAACAGAGAGAACTGGATAAAACAGATTCCTCTGACTTTTTTTAATGATTATTTTTAATGCATTTTGTTCCCTTCCTTGTAGTCTTAGGGTAGCTTACTGTAATTATATACATGGAAAATACTGCTGTAATAACCTTCTGCACAATCAGCCCTTCACATATTTGCAGCCTGCAGACAAATGCTTAGCAAAAATTAAAATAAATTCAATTTTAAATGAGATAAAGTGTTTTTGTAACACATTTTAAAGCAGCCGAAGGAGCAGGCGATATGCTTCAAAGTGTGCCTTTGCAACTACTTATTGGGCCAGTTCAGAAGATAGGTAGTAAATTGAACCTCCTCTGGGTCCTCGGTATTACGCCAGAAATGGATTGCCATGCAAGACAGGCTGGCTGTTGCTTCTGTATAATGCCACTCCTTGTTTCCATAGCAAGCTGCCCTGGGAGTATTACTCTCCAGGGCTTCAGGAATCTTAACGCTGCTCTCAGGTGAACTTTCTTGCAACTCTGCCAGGTCTTTCTTGTTTATTTATTTGACTTACTACAACAAAATCTCAAGCAGCTTAGGAAAGATTAAGAGCCCAAAATGGGTCACCGAAAACCCAAATATATAGAGAATCATGCGGGATGAGCCTGATCCTGTAAAGTTTTTATTGTTGGTGCAGAGTGACCTGATGTGAATTTATTATTAGGCGGTGGTTTGTTAACTGAGCTGTTACTGGCTGATCTTTCTCCTAATTCTCGTCAGACGCTTTTCCATGGGATCTTTGTTTTTCATTTTGCAGCAGGAAGGGGGCCAGTTCAACTGGTTGTTTAACATTTTCTACATAGACCTGCTCAACCTTTTCCTTTCTGTTTCACATGCAGGGTCTAACATTTTGAATTCTTCTTCCGTTCAGGTTAAGACCCTTGATTTCGACGCAGCTAGCAAAAAAGCCTGCAACAGAAGAGGTACAGTGTTTTGTTTGAACCTTCTAAAAATCCCAGTACCTGGAGAGTCATCTGAGTCTTTACATTTGCTCTGTAAGCCCTTTTCTGCCATCCAGCTGTTCTCTGCTTCTTTCGCACTGTGAGGCAGAATGGGATACTGGGTGACTTCTGGTTCCTTCTAGCTATACGATTCTGAACTGAGTAGGACCTCAGCCAAAAAATCGTCCCAGAATAAAACAAAGTGCCTCTTCTATTCCCCACCCCCCACACTGTAACTAACTGGCTGAACTAAAATACCAAACCAGTGCATACTGGTAGTTTGCAAAACGTGTGCAATACGATTTTACTCAACCCCTAGGCATAAATCTCTGAACTCTTGCACCTTTCTAAACTTCTGCTAGCTAGATTTGACGGCTTGACATGTTTTTGCTGTTTCTGAAGTGGGGCAAGAAAGCACACACATCCTTCGTGTGAATTTAAAAGCCAAACTTCAGTTCAGTTCAGAAACCAATTGAGGAAGTTCTGCTAAAAGAGGACTTTGACAGCTTCACATTTAAAATGATTAAGAACACGTGATTCCATCCTCCACCCCCTCCAAAAACAGCTTGCGCTCATGTCAAGGGAAATAATTTTATTTTTTTTCTGCTTTGTATGCACCCTCATTAGAAAAACCTGCACATTTTTAGAACGGAGACATTCAGGAAATGGACATGATAATTAGAAGAAGGTCACGTTTTAATTAGGGTTGTGCAATTTTTTAAAATAATGGTTCAATTGTAGCTCTTTTAAATTCAGCCATTCCTCTGTGAAAACATTCAAGGCAGATGGAAACTCCTGGCATAACAATTAATATAAATGGGGATGGCGCTTCTTCTACCACTATTACTGCCTTGTCTGTTTCTTTTGATACCTGAATTCCCTGCAGCGGAGTACAGGAGATCTGGGGTTGCATAATTGTCTTGGCAAGCAAGAGCAGAGGTAACATGAAAGGGAAAAGCTCTTATCCTCTTGACCTATTGCTGTTAGGCTTATTTGGAGCTGTCCTTGAGGATCTCTGCCTTTCAGCTGGCAGGATGGGATAACTGGAAACCAGCTACACCAGGCTTCCTCAACATCAGCCCTCCAGATGTTTTTGGCCTACAACTCCCATGATCCCTAGTTAGCAGGACCAGTGGTCCAGGATGATGGGAATTGTAGTCTCAAACCATCTGGAGGGCCGAGGTTGAGGAAGCCTGAACTACAGCCATATCCTAGCCAACTCCTGCACTAGTTCTTTATTGTCCGAATAGTTCTGGTTTCAACTGGGACCTCGTTAATCAAGAGAACTTATCTGCTTCTGCTTTGCTTCACTGTGTATTTATTATTATTAGAATACTAACAGTCTTGTACCCAGCTTTCAGCTCAGAAATTCTAAGAAACGAAACAAAAAAATCAGTGCAGTTTTGAAAGGTTCTGCCATGTTGATTCGAACGCTGCCTTATTGTATCCAAACATAAACGAAAACTGACTCCTTGATCTCAGGAACTGCCATGCAAAATGAGGTTGCCGTACCTTAATAGGTGTCCAAATGCAGAGTGAACAGGCAAACAGCTTTCCAAAATAAATAGTAGATGTGTCTCTTGTCTTTTTGAGGGGCTCCACAGGGCAGCTAAGTGACATTAAAGACCAATAGTTGTGCCTAGTGCTCATGCAAGGAGATAAATAACTATACAACTTTTAGAAGACATCTGAAGGCAGCCCTGTATAGGGAAGGTTTTAATGTTTGATGTTTTCTTATGTTGGAAGGCACCCAGAGTAGCAGTCAGATGGGAGCACAGCACATCCCCTGGCAGAACAGTTGCACAAAAGCTTGCACTGCTAGAAGTCTTGCGAAATTTGCTTTTATTTTCCTGTTTTCTGTACGTTGTACCTCTCTGTCTCTTTGTAATATCCCCTTGGTGTCAAATGAGAGTTGATGGTCTGGTTGCCAGTTCACTGAGTATCAGCGATGCCTCTACAGCAGATCAAACTGCCTAATTAGGAGTTCAGCCCATTGGTCCAACCTGCCTCTGTTTGCTCTGCTCCATTTGGCAAGAGCTTCAAAAAGTCTCAGGCATGAGTCTTCTCATAATCCTCATAGGTCACATGCCAGAGGTTGAACCCATCCCCATCCATCATCTGGCTTCGACTGCTCATGCTGCCAAACTTCTGGTCCAACAAACATTTTGAAGTTTTGTTTTATTATGACTTTTTGTATTGGATCAGTTCATGTGCTCTTTGTTGTATATCTTGTTGCTGTAAACCTCCTTGTGTATAGTAATGCAGAAAGGCAGTACAGTTGTACCTTGGAAGTCGAATGGAATCCATTCCGGAAGTCCGTTCGACTTCCAAAACGTTCGAAAACCAAATCACAGCTTCTGATCGGCTGCAGGAAGCTCCTGCAGCCAATCAGAAGCCCTGTCAGACATTCGGGTTCCAAAAGAACGTTTGCAAACCAGAACAATCACTTCCAGGTTTTGCAGTGTTCAGGAGCCAAAACGTCCGAGTTCCAGGGCGTTCAGGATCCAAGGTACAACTGTATACAAATTAAAAAGGAAATAAAATGAATTGGAGGGGGCTGGACTATATGACTTGAGGGTGTACCTTCCAACTCTATGATTCTGTAATTCTCTGATTCATTCTGCACTTGGAGCAGGTGTTGCACCAATCAGTTGTGGTCCTCCTCCTAATTAAACAGTTGGATGCAAAATTGCACAATGAATTGTTAACTCTTTCTCTAATTGCAGCTGAATGGTACCTAATTCACTGGGTGTTGTGCACATCACTTCGTTTCCTTTGTGCCTACACAATTGTTGCACCTCAGAAGGTTTGGATAAAGGCAAACCTATTGAGAGAAAACACTTACAATTTCCCCCAAATAGTTTCCCCAAATAGTGTCGCTTTTAAGAGCTTGTACCTTGTTACGTGCTAATATCCACCTGCAACATCTTCCTCATTCAGCCTTTGGCCATGCTTTGAAATAGCCAAACAACTCTGAATTTGCACAGGAGAACGGGAGCATACCCCCGAATAGCTCTAAACTTCTTAACGAGGAGCTTTGATAGGGGGACAATAAGGAATCTGCCAAGCGATTTTCTCTTCCTTTCAGTTCGGGATTTTAAAGGGGAAAGGTGAGAGGCGATGGGTCTAGGTTTTTCTTCTTATTATTATTGCTTTTCTTATCCTTTGCAGGCAATCTTCCCAAGCACTCAGACAGAGGCCCAAGCAGCTGAAAAGCCAGCAAACGTATTGGTAGAATCCGGGCCCGTCTCGTACAACCATGAGGAAGAAGTGGAAGAAGAAGAAGTCGAGGAGGAAGAGGAGCACTGCATGAGTGCCCTACAGCTGATGGGGGGAAATGGTAGGGCTTAACTTCATCCGTTGCAAACACCCATCCACTTAAAGAAAGGCCAAAACCCCTCCTTACCCCAGTAATGGCAGCTCTATACTAATGTTCCAGATACCTTTCTCTCCAGCTCCTGCACGTCTTCATCAGTGCAGGTAACAGAAGGACCCCATGGGGCTACCATGGATTTAGGCTGCCAACCTTCTTCTGTTGTTGTGATGTACACCATGACAGTACTTCCAGGCTTGAGTAACGCTCATAAACATTTCTTAGCAAGACAGTCTTTCGGCGGTGGGAGCCATCGAGTCGATTGAATCCAGCGTCTACAGACAGAGCTGAGAATACACTCCGAACTTGGGGGTACAGCATTATTGCTGCACAGAAGCTTCTCGTTACAGTGTAAATATGTATAGCCGAAGACTTGACACAGAACCCACTAATTGTGGTGCCTGGCAGTGTCAAGGGGAGAAGGCTGGTGCTGGAGTGTTGATTATTTACTGCGCCATCGACTCAACACCCTTAATTTCGCACTGGTGCTGTTTTCAGCTTTTGTGCATGGTCTATAGAATAATCACAACAGAGTGGTTTGATCTGAGTGGAAAGGGGTCATTCAGACTGCAGGAAACTCTTTCTCCTCTAGGAAATATGATTAGAATTGCACTCCCAGAGAAATGCAGCCAGAGATGTGTGCCTGGGCTGAATGAAGCTGAAAGAATTGTAATGATAATAATTTTGTATATTAAATAGTATCAGTACTAGTAACTGTACAAAATTCGTTAGAGCTTGCTGAATCATTTCTCCTCTATTACTGTTTTTAAAACCATTCTAAACATATTTTTGTCTCCCTGTTATGCAAACACTGATAAATTTGCATCACAGATTTGCATTGCGTCACCAAGTGTTCAATTGCACCATGATCCAGGCCAGCCGACCATCTCATTTGTGACTCTTAGAGCCATGCAATCCCTGTCCTTCGGAAATTTGTCAGTGCATTTTAAGGCCCTCCTTATTTGCTCAAGCCAGTTAGTCAGCCTAGGGATGTTGAAAGCCAGATATCGAAAGCAGAGAAATGTACCGATAAGAAAATCAAGATTAAAGTATACCTCTAGAGATGAACATCTCCATCAAGAGGGGGAGAGAGTTGTGTTATTGCATGATCCACTAAAGCATTTAGCAAGGATCTATAGCCATATGCTTAGCACATCCGTAAAATTGCAAACAATTAAAACCCTGTTTGTAAAAAAAAGAAAGAAAAGAAAATGCAGCAGCAGCTACAAATAGAGCTACACTCTTTGGCAATCATTTCTACATACATTTGAAGAGACAGTGTGGTATAATGGTTAGCGTGTTGGACTTAGACTGGGGAGATCCAAGTTCAAAAGCTTGTCTCTTAGCCTAACTTTCCCAATGAAGATAGGGAAGAAGGAAGGAAGGAAGGAAGGAAGGAAGGAAGGAAGGAAGGAAGGAAGGAGGCAGGCCCATATGTGCCACCCTGAGCTCTTTGAAGGAAGAGCATGATATATGTGCAATAGCATTTGGAGGATGTTTAATCTGATGCAAGTTGCAAGCCTAAATGTAAAGAGGTTCAAACAAATCAGGTCTAAGCCAGCGGAGGACTAGAGTTGGAGCCACTTTAATTTGATTTTTAACTGGAAAAGGCAGTTTCCGAAAACTTTAATCTCTCCCTAAGTCTCCCTAAGCTTTTAGAATGGGGGGCAGATTATAATTTAAATGATTTACTGCAGAAGCAGATTCAGCCAGCATGCACACATCTGTGTTACCATTGACCGTTAAGTGTCGCTGAGAAAAGGGTTCCCTGGGTTATCAGGGGGAAAGTGGACATGAGTGAATATAACAGAATGAGGCAGAGGCAAGACAGGACAGGAGAGAACTGTGAAGGTACCTGAATTGGATGAAAAGAAAGGACTATTCTTCTCTCTTGGTGTGGTGTGAGTGAGTGAGAGCAAAAGGTCTCAGATTTTAACTAAGCTAAGCCTTGTATTCAAGCACTGGCCTGGCAGCCAGAGGTGACACAGAACTGTACGCAGGTAGGTGCATGCAGTTCCATATGGCTGTAGGGGCAGAGGAGGAAGCCCCTTTCTCTGTAGAAAAGCAGCCGGCTGAGGGAGGCAGGGCAGAGCTCTCTGCCAGCTCCTGGCAGGCTACTAACATTTTTGGGAGACTTTCAACTTTTTGGGGCATGTTCATAAGGCTCTTTTGAGGAACAGATTTCCTGGGGTAGGTTAGTTTAAAACCCAGCGAGCTTTTATTTAATCTCTCCAGCGAAACCTGCAATTTGCTTACCTCGATGCACCTAGAAATTACTTGACAGTTTGGATGCTACAGAAATTGGCTCACTTGCTCATTTCTGTGACCTACATTTAAACTCTCTATCTTTTAAAAAGTGTTTCATTGGACTGCTTTTGTGTGTGTGTGTGTGATTTCTTCCTGTGCTTTCCCTTTCCCTCTCCACTGTATATTTTCCTGGGAGGGACTATTTCTGTTGTCTTGTCTTCTGGGAGTGGGCGGGGTAGAGGCTAATGTATTAAGGGATCCCCAGGGATCCTGTTTCTTCTGATAATTTTTCTCCGCTTTGATATTTTCAGATTATGGCTGTGAGATGGACGACGATGAAGGATACTAATTGCCTCCTAATGGGATCGGTGAAGGAAGTTAACCTGGCGATGTCAACAAACCCTCCTGACTTCCATTGCTTGCTGGTCAGTTTCCATTGACCTGTAGCCTGGCACCGGGGTTTGGCTTTCGAATACTTGAAACGTTTCTGGATCATGTTATGAGAAAGGGATTCAGCGAAGCATCAGTTTCAGGGAACAAAGGAGAAGAGGCAAAATGGCTGGCACAACTCGGCAGCGCAGTGTTGGACCTGCCTTGCGGCTGCCCTTGGTTCAGCCATATCTCCGTAAAAACCATATATGACAAGGAGCAAATCATAAACGTGCAAAACCTCCAAGTGGAAAAGCTGTGGACATGCACTGTTTACATTGGGGTGATAAAAGCACATCTCCCCGCCCCTGACCTTGGCGTAGCGTCCGTGTTTCCATGCTGAAATAAATAACATCAGAGCTGATATGCAAGCTGCCCAGGCAACTCCTCTTGGAAAGCAATCCCAAACACCTGCCCCCCACCCAAATACATGCAGTGTTACCCTAAGGTTAGAGCACCATTGGGCAGGTATCTCATAGAGGACAGCAGTGGTACCTTAAGAAGTTTGAAGAAGCAACAGGAGGGTTTGTCAAAGTTGGCTGCTGTACCACGGGGTAGACCTCAGAGGTGCGGGAAACAGTTTGGACATCTCAGTAAGGGGAGTCTGTTCCTGCTCCAAGGAAATTAAGCCAGGCCTTCACTCACCGCTGCTGTAAGATAGGGATAGGGCAAGCGAGGGATTGGCAGAGGAGAAGAGTTCAAGGGGTAGACCGGACACCCCTGCTGCTGGCTGTAGGACATCTCACAAGCTCCTATGCCTCTGTGATGCACTTAAAATTTAAGAGTATGGTGCTACTCACCACAATTGGGGGTGGGGGGTTGTGTTCACTTTTTGTCCTCCTGCCAGTCTTTGTTGGCTTGGCACAACAGACAGATTTGTCTCCAGTAAGTTTTACTTTGCTTTGTTTTAAGGTAAATAAGCTACTCCCCCCTCCCCCCCATCCCTAATGCAATTTAATTTAATGTTATTTAATGAGGTTGATACAGGCTCAGCCATGCGAGAACCTTGGCCAAGCTCTGCTCTCTCGGCTCTGTCCAGTAACCTGTCAGAACTTTAAACCTTGTGAACCTAAGGTTAAACCAGACCAATAGTTTCCCACCTCCTCATTTCAGGCCTTGCAGGATTGTGGCCTGAATTTTACCTGCCGTTGCGTTTGACTCCTTTGACTTTCTAGCAGCACGGCATATATTTGCTCGCTGGTAGCCAAAGGACGCATACCACAGGGGCGGTTCTCATCCCAGTTGCCTGGCAGGCAAGGAGGATGTGCCAAGTTGACTTTGTGGGAAATGGATTCCCCGGGCCATCGAGGCAAAAATACACCCAGTTCTGCATGTTGGCCTTGTCCATGCCAAAAGGTCAAGCTGCCTCTTTTCTATGTCCTTGCTTGCTTTTAGCAGAGCTCCAGGTTGGAATATCCTAGTTAGAGGATGAGACCGAAAGCAATCCTTTCCCGAATTCAGAAGAGCCTCTTCTCGCTCAGCTGGTATTTTTGAGATGTACCACTTCGGACTGCAAGTGGTGACTTACACAGTGACCTACTTGGCCATGCAAAAGATAAAAATCCCTCCATGCAGACAACTTAGTATGTTGGAGAAAGTCTTCTATGTGGGCAGATATATTTTTGCATGGAGAAGTATTTAGTCCAGGGTTGGGGAACCTGGTGACTTCCAGATGTTGCTGGACTACAGCTCCCATCATCCGTGTCCATTGGCCATGCTGGCTGGGACTGATGGGAGTTGGAGTCCAATAACTTCTGGAAGGGCCACAGGTCTGGCACCCCTGGTTTAGTCAACGAGGCCCACCATCCCCCACTCTCAGCCTGCGATGTTCCAGCCCAGATGGATTGCCAGCTCTTTGAGAACTAGACTCAAGTCACTATGGTAGGACATGGCAGAAGGAGGTGACTCAGCTCTCCTGGGACATCCTGCATTTAATTCTCTGACTGGGATTTATCTGGGCGTTTATTTGAATTACTAGGTCTGGATCTGGAAAATGGAGATTCTTGCTTCGATAGTACGTGGCCACTTCTGTTTTGGCAGAGATTGCTGTGGCAAGCTCCCTCCTAAAAAAACAAAGAAACAAAAAACCCCAAATAATTCTTTTTAGGGACCAAGTACCAGGTGGTGAGCTTGCCAGTATCTCACTATCTGCTTCTGTGTGGTTGGCTGGGTCCATGCAGTTGCCCTGGCATTTGCAGTCTGCTTTTCACGTGGATAATCCAGGCAGCTTGGCATGTCTCCTTGCCAGACTTGCCTCCTTGGGGCCAGGTTTGCATAGCTAGGCTCTGATTTTAGACTACAGCTCCCGTCAGTCCCAGCCAACAAGGTTGAGGAAGGGAGAGCTATGGAATCTGGCCAATCCGTATGAAATACCAACTACAGAAATAGGAGAAGCAGTTTTGGGGGAGATTTTTAATCTTTATTCTCGGGCTTCTATTGATCCTTTAGCAGTTTGATTTTGAATCCAGTAGTATGTCATTGCTGAGGCAAGAGAAGTTTGCCCACTACTCAGCTGCTAAATGCTTAAGAGGTCCCGTAGGATCAGCAATTTCCCCCTCCTCCCTCCCCAGTGTGTTACTTTGGCTCACTGAGGGTTTTTTTGCTTGGTTGGCTTTTTAAAGGGTTGGGATTCTGAGGGCCAAATTCAGTGCCATGATGGAGGTATGTGATCTTTAAATTCTTGCAGAGAGCACCCACACAGGAGGCACACTTTGGATTGGGCCACAGCACTGGGGGAACTGAATTGAACCTCCCTTCCCAGGTGCTTCCTAATGAAACTCGCCCACCCAAGCTGCTGTTTGTCCTCTTAGGGAAAGCTCACGTATACTTGTAAAAGTTGTAGCTAAAGTGGAGGCAGAGAATAGAAACCCTCTCCTGGCACCCCTGCCTCATTTTGCTATTCTCATTTCTCCCTCGCCCCTCCCCAAATGGAATTGAATTAAGGCCAATAGGTGGTTCCCTCCCCGTGCAAATAGCAGCTTCAGAGAACCAGTTTCCATTGAGACCACGGCAGGGGAGGAAAGGGTTAAAATACCATACACTGCCTGCAGGAATCCCAGTAATTGTATCCACTCCCCAGCGACTGCTATTTTCATTTTGGTGAAAGGATGCACATCAGGTGCAAAGGCACATCTAACAACCCATCCAGTTTGGCCCTGAGTTCCAGTTCCCATAAATGGGAAAGTTCGCAGGCCTGCTGAGGAGCATTTAACAAGCCAGCAGCTCTGCTGCGATCCTTTGCCTTCAGCTGCAGGAGGACTGAGGTGTGTGTTTTGTCTTGTGGCTGCAGAAAGGTGTCGTTTTAATAAACCTTGGAATGCATAAGGATTTTCAATCCTGCCTCGCACATTTCTAAGTCATGTAATATTACACGCAGATTTCTTTTATTTTTCTTTCCTTTTCGGAGTGCTCATTCCTCCTCGGTGTAACTAAGCTCAGGGAATACAAACGGATTAGCAGATGCCACCTTCTGTTTTCATAACTACTTAGGGAAAATGTTAAAATAAAGGCGAGTACACAGTTCACCCTTGTCTGCTACTGTTAACATATCGCAGTGACCTTGGGGGAGGCACTTGGCTGCGTTTCCCTGAAAATAATTTGGAGCTTGCTGTATTCTGCATTCAGATGATGACGAGAGCTCACAGGGTTTCAAGAATGGTTGGTTTTAGATTGCGAGGTGTGAATCCTGGCTCCCTCCCGCTCCTAGTGTAGCGCACATTTCCTAGGCAGAACCCTCAAACTGTGGCGTTGTGCTTTTTCTACCTTGAAGACTTTCTAACCTTTGTCACTTGGCCTCAGTTCACAGACTTGCCAACACTTAGGTGGGTGGAACAGGAACCCTACACGTTTCTGATTGTGCAGATCCAGTTTTTGCAGCCTCCTCCTCCTCTCTTTTGAGGACCTAGAAACCTCCACATGATCGGATGTTTGCGCAGTCCTGCATAGATGCTGTCTGCACAGTGGAGGAAAGGGGCTAAGCTTGCTCCTCTGCCAGGCAAATGTATAAATTGCATTTTAGAGAACAATTTAGGGCAGGCAAGCTTGGATGGTGACGCGTGTGCACCGATTTGCATCTCAATTGTATGTGCTGTTTCATGAGAGCGACTCCCTTCACCACAGAAAGACTTTGGCGGGAGCTGTGTAGCATCGTCTTAAAAAGTGACCTCCGTATTAGTTCTCGCTGTTCTGTTTGCCTTCCCTCTGGATTGCGTGGGAGTTTATCGCCGCTTGCTGTTTTTATGTATCACTCCTTGCATAGTCTCCTCGCCGCTTGTCGCTCTCGTCTTAACAAGGCCAACACATTTGGTGCGCGGCAGTGCCAGCGAATCGAAACAATCTGCAAGCATCTTGAAGGGTCCTTCCAGCCCACATCATGAGCCACGGCCTGCCGTCTCTCCTCCTCACCCCCCAGACAAATTGTAATATCTGCTGTAAATATTATTTTTTTAAGTCATCTTTTATTATGTGTTCTTGCCTTCCCTTGCAGGCTTTTTTGTTTTGTTTCTTAAGACTGCTTCTGTGTGACTTGGACAGCAGTGTACAAAATACCCAGTGTATATCCTTATTTTGTGTCTACAAAGCAAAAGTGTTTTAAAACATTTAAGGGTGTGTGTACGTTTTCTTTGAAAGTGTGTGTTTCCCACCTTCCTGAACAATGCATAAACCGACACTCTCTCGACTTGGCACCCTGTGCGGGGGAACCGCCCGCACCGTTCTAATCTGATGCTGATAACTTAGTAAATGAGACACAGAGACATTTCAGAACCATTCACATGTATCAAAGCCAGGACTAGTGGTTGGGATCAATGGGACAGCTGGAACGAGGGGTTCAGAGGTTCAGTTTGGGGCCTGCTTCACAACCAATGTTGCCCCATGGCAGCCTTCCACATTACTGTTACATCGCTCCCTCTGTCCTTTTCTTACCCAGGTTTATCTGTTGGCAGGGGAGCTTTCATTTGGTTCCTGCTGTGGCAGTATTCCAGCACTTGGGAAGCATGGGAAATGTATATTTCCTATGGACCCCGATGCATACGATGTTGCTGCTGTAGAAACCATGGGCCTCACAGACGCCCTGCTATGGGGCCTTGCTATTGCTAATTGGGAGGAGAGGGGAGGCAGTGGGGGTTTCCCACAGGGCATTAAGACTCTGCCATACTTATTCTGATGTCGGCAAGAGAGCAATGGAGCCCACTCTTCAGAGAGAGCTTTCTGAAAAAACAAACATTCTTGCTTCTGCTATTGCCCTCTCCGCTCTGGCCACACTCTTCCAGCACAGCTCTTAGAGGTGCATTACTTTCATAGGGAGAAGACTGAGAGCCAGACAGAGACCTGGAGGGCAACATTTGGCAGCAAGGCTGGTGTTCCTCATTCCTTAGTTAGGCCAGCATTGCCTTTGGTTGGGTGGTCTCTCCCCAGGAACTTGGGCAGAAATCTTTCCCAGTCTTCCTTGTTGGAGACACCAGGAGTCTTGTGTCCTCTTGCACGCAGAGCAAATGCCCCTAATTCTGATCCTCTGCATTCTCACCAGAAGTGAACTACACCAGATTGCAGAAGACAATTGCCCGTGCTCATGGCTTAGGGCCAAGGCATCTTCCAGAGTTGTTTTATTTTTTTTAATCATTTCCATACCACTGCACATGTCCAAAGGAATCTCTGCTAAAAACTGAACTTGTACGCAACCACCATGTGGAGTGAGGGGTGGGAATCCATAGTAGCGTTAAACATCATTTACTAGCTAATTCCTGTACCTCCATCTAGCACATACTGGGGGGACACCCACACCATAGATTGAAAGCACATAGATACCCACACATAGATTGAAAGCACATAGAAAGCACCATAGATTGAAAGCACATGGCTTCCCCCAAAGGATCCTGGGAACTGTTGCTTCCCCTTCAGAATTATAATTCCCAGGATTCCTTGGGGGAAGTCATGAGCTTTCAATGTGTCCAGGACCATACAAAGAGCATCATATCTCCCCTCCTTCCTCGCCCCAAGAACCCAGCCCAGAAGAATAATGTTAAGGGCGAATGTGTGCATTGGAATTGCCCCACCTTTCATAATGAACACTTGAGGCATGGAACATTAACCAAGGAGATTGGCACTGCGCATTAAACCCTTTCTTTCCCACTCTGAAAGCCTTGTGATAAGAGCTGAGCTGTGCAGTCAATGGGCTTCATGAACAAAAGCAGAAATGCGTTTAGGAATTAGGAGATGTTCAAAGGGCCCCAAATCTTCTGCCTCTTTCACGATGGGGAAGAATATCACCGAGTTTCAAGGGAAGAAATAGCAGGTTGCTGCCATGCTGCCTGTCTCCGATGCAACGCCACCTACCTTTTTTGTGTGTTTCGTGACGGAATGCAACATTAAAGCTTTAATAAAGCCGTTATTAGCTTGCAGATGGTTCTGAGTGTCTTTTTAAATGTAGCAATGAAGGAAACACCAGAGGCTTTTCAATCTACACTTCAGTACATTGTGAATTCCACATTCTAAAAGGATCCCCTCCGCACATTTTGCTTGTGTCACCAGGGTGCAATCCTTTAGCTTTCCCCTTCTCTTTTTAAACCATGGGATTATATCTGCAGAAATGGAACATGTAGCAACGAAGGAACCTCCCCTCTGCAAAAGCTCAATACTTATGCCATGATTTAAATGAAAACAGTGCTTATGTGGTTGTTGCAGGTTGGGGAGCGGGAGAACAGTGAATATATTGTAGAGAGATTTCCAGTGCAACCGTGCACATGTTTACTCAGAGGAAAGTCTCTTTCTTAACGTAGATCTTTTTTGGGGTGGGGAGCGGGTGGTGCTGTGGTCTAAACCACAGAGCCTAGGGCTTGCCGATCGGAAGGTTGGTGGTTCGAATCCCTGCGACGGGGTGAGCTCCCGTTGCTCAGTCCCTGCTCCTGCCAACCTAGCAGTTTGAAAGCACGTCAAAGTGCAAGTAGATAAATAGGTACCGCTCCAGCGGGAAGGTAAACAGTGTTTCTGTGCGCTGCTCTGGTTCGCCAGAAGTGGCTTAGTCATGCTGGCCACATGACCCGGAAGCTGTACCCCGGCTCCCTTGGCCACTAATGCGAGATGAGCGCCACAACCCCAGAGTTGGCCGCGGCGACCTAATCGTCAGGGGTACCTTTACCTTTACCTAAACTGCTTTGAGGTTCCATCACAATCAAGCGGTATATATCTATATTGCTAAATGAAAACATTTTGCATATGACTGGGCGCTGAAGGGGCGCTGAAATTTCTGGGTACAAAATGTATGCCACAAACCTTACAGATTTGAAAGTTGGATGCAGACCAAGTTTGTTTCACATTGCTCCCATGGACTCTTAGCAAAAGAACCTAAGACGATCCCTGCTGAATGAGGTCAAGGGCCCATCTAGTCCAGCATCCTGCTCTCACCATGGTCAACCAGATGCGGATGAGAAGCCCACAGGTTTGACATGTGCACAACAGCACTCTCCCCTTTGTGCCATTCCCGTGTGCTATCTGCTGGATGTCACTGAGGTCCACCTCTTGCTTAGATTACCACAACACGTTATACGTGGGGCTGACTCTGAAGACAGTTTGGAAACTTCGTCTGTTGCAGAATTCAGCGGCCAGGTTGCTCACCGGGGAAAGACGGCTTGAGCATATTACACCGATCCTGGTTCAACCGCACCAGCTGCCAATGAGCTTCCAGGCCCAGATCAAAGTGCTGGTTTTGACCCATAAAGCCTTCTATGTCTCAGGACCACAATACCTCAAGGACTGCCTCTCCCCATATGAACCTACCTGGACCCTAAGATCAACATCTTATGGGGTCTGGAGGGTGGCAGCACAAGAACAGGCCTTTTCTGTGGTGGCCCCCCGTTTGTGGAATGCTCTCCCCAAGGAGGTTCACCTGGCATCTTCATTATACACCTTTAAGGTGCCAGGCAAAAATGTTCCTCTTCAGGTACTTGGCTGATTAGACAATCTATAGCCTTTTAACTGTGGGGTTATTGTTTTGTTTTTTTATTATGGCATGTATTTTTGTGTTTTTGTAGTGTAAAGCACCCTGTGATCCTCACGAGTAACCCACCACTGCATCCTCATATTTCGGGATCAGGCCCATTGTCTTTCTTTTAACATGTGCACTTTTCAAGCTGAGAGTTTCTCACTCCCCAGGCCCCCTGCCATCCTTCCCCTCCCCGCGTCCCTGTTTTACATTTGTAATATGTCATGAATCTGAAATGTAGTCTGAACTGTTATCCTGCCTGCGAAATGTAATTTGATTCTTTCCCCCCTCTTAGTGTTTGATGAGAATCCTTTGTGTTTTCATGCTTTAATACAATCTGGCACATAATTACAAATGACTCACCGATAATCTCAGTCATGGAGCTCTCTGAAATTAGATGATAATTTAGCCTGGAATTCGTGTAGCAAGAACGAAGAGAAGACGATTTATAATTATTCCAATCAAGAGATTCTCTCTGCCCCCCCCCACTTGCCCCCCCCCTTCCACGGAGCTGCTCTGAAAATGGCTAGGGGCCAAAAGTCTTTAGACCTCTTTTGCCCCTCGCTGCCTCCCAGACAAACACGAATGATCGCTGTACGTTTTCATCAGTGCAGAAATGCCTGTAATTGCAGCTGACAAAGTGTGTGTGTGTGTGTGTTTTTTGTGTGTGCATGTAAAAATCTTCACCATCCCAGACCAGGGACCAGACCATCCTTGATGGCACAAGAAACAAGGACAAGTCGGCCAAATTTAAGTCCATCCAAAATGTGAGACTTTCACAACTCACATAAACTCCAGCCAGTTTAGCCCATAGTTAGGGATGATGGGAACTGTGGTCCAACCATATTCTGGGAACCGGAGCTTGAGGAACACAGCTCTAAGGAACCTTTCACACATTGCAAAGCAGCAAACCTGAGTCTTCCACAGATTGTTACCAGTTTTTCAGGTTCCGATCAAGGGCTGCTGGGATAGCTCAGCCAGTAAAGCATGAGACTCTGAATCTCAGGGTTGTGGGTTTGAGACCCATGTTGGGCAAAATATTCCTGCATTGCATGGGGTTGGACTAGATGGTTTTCATGGTCCCTTCCAACTCTACAAAATTATTTGATGTTAATGATATATAATTATAGAATCATGGAACAGTAGAGTTGGAAGGGACTACGAGGATCATCTAGTCCAGTGTCCCCCCTCCAAAAACATGTGTTTCCAGCTGTTTTTGAACTACAATTCCCATCACTCCTGACCACTGGCTAGGGATGATGGGAGTTGTAGTCCCAAAACAGCTGTAAGTGTTTCCTAAGTTTGGGAAACACTGATCTAGTCCAACCCCCTGCAATGCAGGAATCTTTCAGCCAATGTGGGACTCAAACTCATGACCTTATGATGAAGAGTCTCATGCTCTACTGACAAGAGTTATCCCGCAGGGATAAATAAGGAAGTGTCAGAAGTTGGGCAGGAAGTGTGCTGGGGCAACTGAGATGCAAAAGTCCTTCTAGCCCAAAACTCTGAAGGGACCAAGCTGAGAAGGCTGGACTACAGACCTTCCTTTAAAGAAAAGAGGTGTGTGCAAGGACCTCAAAAGTCATCTAGTCCAACCCCCTGCAATGCAGGAATCTCAGCTAAAG